TTCTTTTCAAGAGCTCTCCAAAGCACTTCTCTTGGAACTTTATCATATGCTTTTTCTAAATCAATAAATATCATATGTAGATCCTCCTTATTTTCTCTATATTTCTCCATCAAACCTCTTAATAAATATATGGCTTCCATAGTCGACCTACCCGGCATGTATCCAAATTGATTTTGAGAAACATTAGTATCACGCCGCAACCTATGCTCCATAACTCGCTTCCATAGTTTTAAAGTATGACACATTAACTTAATACCTCTATAATTCGCACAATCTTGTGCATCACCTTTATTCTTAAAAATAGGAATTAATATACTCATTCTCCACTCATCTGGCATCTTTTTAGTCCTTTTTCATCCAACCAAATACCAAAATTGTTAAAACCTCTGCATTTGGAATATTTTACACCCTACAGTATTCCAAACAAATAGCCCCTTAATACGGTCTATAAGATCTCCACCATGAAATTCAATTAGGATAACCTCTCATTACAAATGTTGATGAATGCAGAACCTATATTTAAAAAACAAATATCCATCTTAATGCTGAAATGTTAAAAAATACATTTCCAGTATCACCAAAATGGAGTTCTTATATCATTTAGATATCAATTACTTATGACTAGAGCGTGCTTAGAAGAATATTTCAACATCTAAGGGAATTTGCAACTTGATTCTTAAAATTCGAGTTTTACTTTAGGATATATTTAATTGAGGAAAGAAATTCAACCAACTTGACATGTTAACCCTTTGGAAAGTTCTGGCTATGCATGTACTTGAGGGCCACACGATTAGAAAGAAGGTAAATTCATTAACTAGGAAGTAGTAGTTCTTATTTTTTAAAGCTCAGGCTACAACGTAGAATTTCTTATCATATGTGGGATGCTTTTTACAAGCTTCCCTGATCGATTTGCTGAAGAAAGCGATTGGATGTCTGACTTGATTTAGAACAGCTTAAATCACTACAATGGAGGCATCACAATCTCCCTTAAACATGCTTTTGAAAAGAGAGAGAGTCAAAAGGGGAGCTTAAGCAACTTTTCGTTTCAAGGCATGGAAGCTTGCTTTGGCCTCTAATTCAAGTGGATTTGTTTGTTTTGAGTCATTCAATAAGGGGAGTTGTCACCAAATTGAAATGTTTGATGAAGCACCGGTAGAATGGCATATGCCCATAAAACTCTGCACGTCCAAAAAAGATTAAGGAGCAGACACTCTGGTGTACTTTTCTTTTTTCCATTCATCTCAATTTATGTCGGATTGCCAAGGTCTTTTTAACAATAAATGACAAGCTTTCATTGGAATAATATCACATTATACCACTTATTCAATTTTCTTGCCAATGAAAACTTGCACTAAGCAACGTTTTACCACTTTGATTTCATTTCCTTCCTAAGCCAAGAAAGCTTGCAGGGCCTTGGATGCTCTTACATTTGAAGACTTCTCCATAGTATTGGTGGAAACAATGTCGTTGATGACATTACACACCTTTTATTGGATAGTGCATCGGACAGGTAGATGTTTTGGTGCAATCAATCCAACTTTCTTGATGTTGGCGTTCAAAACCCTTTAAAAAATTTGCAACTCTCCCTCATCATCATACATCAAGTTTTCTCCCTTTGTTTTAAGTATCTTGTTCTGCACCATATTCTTAGGTCATTTTTGCAACGATCATAATCACTTGTTGATCGGGCAAAATCAAGGCAATGTGGCTGAACCCACTCTGAAAACATTTTCAAGGTCGAGCATTATTGGTGGAATTACTTTCCTTGCTTTTGTTTTCAGCTTGGAACTAGCCAGATAGAGCCACCTTGTGTGGAATTCAACTTCTATCTTCAGGTGAATTAGCACCATCCTTGTAAGGATCTTTCATAAATCAAGGTTGAATGTTCTTGGGGGTTGGTTGTTGTTTTTCCACCATCTTAGATAGCATAGTAATCAGCAAGCGCTCAATATTGATGAAGTTGAACCACATGAGCGCTTGTAGGTTGCAAACCGCCCAAACCTTACAATGATGTGCCCCTTCGGTTCTAAAATGTCATGTTTCAACATAAGCTATTTGAATTTAGCGGTGCATTCTTCCACCTCCGACACCTTATGATGAAAATTATTTTTAATGAATGTGTTTTGATGAAAATGAGTGATTAAATACCTTTATTGTATTTTTTCTTCTTTTTTCTCCTATATGATGATCTTGCCCTTGCTTTCATGATTCTGATTTCTTTTTAAATTTTTGCACTAAATAGAAGCATATTTTTCGGCTTAATAGCCACTAGCTTAACCGCCGATCAGGCAACACTTCTTTCTAATAAAAATACGTTTGCATTGTGAAACCAGTTGATGAGGCCATCAGAATTCAAGCTGCTTTAAAAATTTGGGATATTCAATTTTCCTCCAAAATCTTGATAATGCTTTCTTTCTTCCCTTTATTGGAATCTAGTGATGGTGCTCCTCAAATGATTATTGTACCATTTTATGAAAATGATCCTTCATCAGCTTTTCATGATTTTTATTTGAACCAAAGGAATGAGCATCTCACCCAATGCTCATGTTTATTGAAGTGTTGTTGCAATAAATAAATTTGCAACTTTTTCATGACTTGCCAAGACGGGTGTTGGAGATTCCTCGACCTTATGCTTTCCAGGCTTTGATACCAATTGACAATGATAGTAAATGGAGATGTTGGCTCAAAAACTTAAAAAAGTACTAATGAACATCAAGAACTAGGAATTGGATAACAATCAAACATCCTAGTAATCATTTCTTATGTTTTGAACATTGAGGGTTGCTAGATAATTGATTTGCTTCTATATCTAAGAAGTTGAGAACCTTCATGCACTATCGTGTGCTGGTGGCTCTAAAATCCTTGGAATAGCCACTCTATTCCTTCCTTAGCCGACCAAGATTAGCTGAGATTTGACAGATTGGTTTTATGATGAGGACATCCGACCTTGGAGAGTCTGCCAGAGGCGTGGCCGACGATCTACGACCACGATTACACCGTTTTATTTTTGAGTCATTATATGTACTTGATTTATTTCTGCATTTTTTCTTTTTATACCCTCAGTTGAGGGGATAGTCATATGTAAGCCCTAAGGGCATATTGGTCTTTTTATTTCTTTCATTGTATGAGGCTATTTAAAAACCATCTTCTCTTCTTTTGAGTTTAATGAATATGATTACAAGAAAAATTCTGTGCTTATGTGTTTTTCGGAGAGCTTGAGAGTTCTTAAAGATTGAAGTCCCTAGGTGAGGGCATTGCAATACCCACCAACTGTAGGAAGCGTTCGAGTTCATGGTCGACCTCTGCCTTCCCCTTCCTTCCGTCTCTTCTTCCCCTGCAAGCTGCCGGCCTACCACCTCATCCTCCTCTTTAAACCACCGTCCCCATTTCCCCCCTTCCAATCCTCTCTCCAAAATTTAAATCCCTAATTAATACTTTTCATTTATTAAACATCCTCAATTCGGAAAACTTTGATTTCAAATTCTAATCAATTTTGAATTTGAAATTATTTCCTAAGATAGGATGATCTATTTTTGGAAAGTTACTTAAATCAAGTTTAATTCAATTTCTAATTGGATTTGATCTAAATCACTTGCCTAAATTTGCAATCCTTGATTAAGTAAGCATTAATTCCCTTTCCCTAAACCCTACCCCACCTACTCTTGCCGCCGGCCCCCTCCCTCTACCCCCTCTCTCTCCCACATTGAAACTCCTTTCCTTCTTGGAGTGCTTTCCCTTTCTCCCCTTAAGCCCCTCCTACTCAATTCTGAAACCTAATTTCAGATTTTTGGAAAAGGAATCCCCTCCTAGTCGGCCACACAACCCTTCTCTCCACCGTTCATCCTTGGCTTGATACATCACCTAAGAAAGAAAAGAGAGAAGAAACACACAACTCCCTCTCCACCACTTTATTTAATTTCTTTATCCATGCATGACGGATCCAGAATGTGACCACGAGTTCGTCTACAACAATCAAGATCTAGTCGATATCTTCTACTCACCGTTCTTCGACATCAATCCTGAGATTGACCAAACTGCGGAGGAATACATAAAGAGGATCATCTTTGCCCGCCGAAGCCATCGACGAACAACTCTCTTCAGTGCAGTGGCAGATCGTTTCCAAACCGTGATCAAGGTGAATCTCTCCTCCAAGCATTTTTCCTTTCTAAGTCTCACCTTAATTTGTGGCATCACAAATATCATGCATGCTTTCTCTGTTTACCATTCATTAAAAGAGTTGAGTGAGGGATCTCTTTCGTAGTGGCTAATCTCATTGTTAATTTAGGGATTTCTCGTTGAAAATCCTTCTTGGATGCTATGTTTGAGTAATTGATTATTTTGTGATCTTAACTTCTAGTTGTGTGATTTGGCATAAACTTGTTTCACCCCTCTCGTTTTCTTTCATTGTTTAAATCGCTACAAGTTTAATAGTTAATATTGCTATCATCTAAAAACACGCAATTTCTTATTTGATATTGCCTAAGCATTTAAGTCCTACATCATTTTGGCAAAGTCTAAGACTCCACTATGACCTCCTAATGTAAAATTGATTAAGTTATTCATATGGATTTACAATGAATTGTTTAACACCTAATGTATCATTGAACATGAACAAATAGTAAATGATGATTCACAATGTTGATCATAAATAGTTGGGATAAGACTAACGATGATGATGATGATGTCCCTTTCATCAATAAGTGTTGCTGCTACTAGTGTCATGCAACAATATGCCAAGCTTGTCTAATCACTCTTGATAAATACATGCTTTTTTATCCTTGTTGTTGGTTATTCAATAGCCATGAATTCTGGTATTAAAAAGTGAACTAATAATTGATTTTGATCATAAATATTTTCATTATTGATCCGCATAAGCTTTGATGTCATAAATTTTGTGTACGCTGTCAATAAGTGCAATACATCCTTGTATTTTTTATATAAATATGAAGCATGCATTTCACTCGAACTTTAATTGTTTTTCTTTTAATCATGCTTTGTAGAGGCTGGATACTGAAGCTCTAGGACTTTTAAGCTGGCTTGCATCTTCTCAAGCTGAAGAAGAAATGGATACCGGTGATGAACTACTTCATGAAGCCATCCTTAGTCCTTTATTGCCCGGAAAATCATACACGGCAGCCCTCGAGATAGCTCATAGGGATTATGAGCATGCTTCTCAGGTAGAATGCCAGGACATCCTTGATTCAGTTGAAGATATTCTGAAGTCTGAGAGGCCCAAGGAAGAGGCTTCAACTTCTTTTCAGGGCCTTATTCTTGATTCAGTTGAATGCATTCTCATGTCTGATGGGTTAAAAGAACAGGCTTTATCTTCCTCTCGGGACCTTTTGGATGCTGTTTCGTCTGGTGTTAGTATTCCTCAAGTTGATGGGTCCTTTGATGACAATTGGAAGACTCCCCAGAAAGGGAATACTTCTGAGGCAAATATGTCTTATGGGGAGGATAAGGCTGTCGCTCGATCTGCAGGAATGGGCCTAAGGGCTGGTAGTAAAAACAAAGAAAGAAAGCTTTGGGGAAATTTACCTTTTTCTATCAGTAAAAATGAGCATGAAGCTTCTGAATCTTTCTGTGTTGCTTCTTCTTCATGTGATGAGATGATAAATGATGGTTCTTACAATCCTCCATTTTATCATAAAGAAGGTAATCAATATGATGATTTCAAAAATGAAAATGTTATAGAAAACAATAGTGAGAAGAGTGGAAAAACATCAGGTTTGTGCTCTATAAGAGATTTAATGAGGAAAAAACGATACCTCCGGGTTGAACAAGTGGAAACAACGGTTCAAAAGAATGAAGACATGGCACATGGTCAAAAGCAAGAACTAACACCACAATTTCCTGTTGAAGAGCCTTCCATAGGGCGATCTGTAACTCATCAAAATATACGGGGAAGTATAGCATGTTCTACCATTGCATCTTCAAATTTTCAAGGAATAGAATGTTTTGAACATCATTCAAGTTTTTGTAATACAGTCCAGAAGGCATTTTCTCCTTTATGCACTGGTAATGTGCAATCGAGCACAGCTCCAAGTGAGATTATTGGTTTTAAGCAAGGGTTTGGCCTTAATGAACAATCGAAAATTTCTGAAGCAGCACTGAATATAGAAGCTGGGGAATTGTCTGTGCTGGAAACTGTACCAATGCAATTACTTGAATCCTCAGAGGTTAAACCAGTGGGATCTGTCTCGTATGTTGAGAGACCTTTAAGTTCACCAAACATAAGGAAATGTCAATCCAACCATAATGAGAATTCTGCTGGAAATGCTGCTTTGAAATCTCATAGACACAAAAACTGGAATTCTGGAAATATTGCAAACAACTATGCAATTACCTCAGAAGGTGGCATTGCTCAGGAGGCGCTCCTTCCTGAAATGTGCCATAGAAATTGTCAGCAGTCAACATGCCTATTTGATGAGAATAGTAGAGATTTCTGTAAAGAAAAAAATTTTCAGGAATTTATTGAGATGGCCTTTATCAACAGACCCCCATCTAACATGCATATTTATGAACCAGAAGAATCATTACCTGCAGGACAAGCTAATGGAAATATAGGTGCTGTGCTGATACTGTTATCTTCTATAATTACTCTATGGGCTGTATGCTTTTTTTTTAATAACCATTTTAAATTATATCATTTTTTTATTATATTTTAACCAACTGTTGAATTTAATTGATCAAGCGTTAGGCCTTGTCTCTTGTATTCAGCTGCTTTTTATTTGCTGAAATATCTTCCAATTTAAAGCATATCTAGAGTGAAATACCCTAGACTGAGTTAGCATAGTCATCATGACCATTCTCGATGTATTAGTGCTTTATCCAATATCAGAACATGAAAGTGATGAACATGAACATTTATGCAATGCATCTAGAAATCCCAATTTTCAGCATGCTTGGAAAAGGGATATGACATCTGACACGTCCATGCCAGCAGTTTACAGCGTGCTTTTCTTCTTTTATGTTTTATAGCTTACTTTTGTAGTTCTCCTACCACCCTATTAAACTCCTTTAATTACTTGCAAAAACTTACTAGCTAATACATACTGACATTTGTACTTTAGTAAACCAAAAGTTATCCAAATCAAATAAATTTTTATGTGAATTCATTACTTTTTTATTTAGCACAACTGCAACGGTCTTGAATTCTTGAAAATTCATCATAAATTAGATTTATTAACATCATTATGTGCCTTTCATTTCTTTTATAAGCTTGATGCAAAGCCAAAATACTGTAAAATCTCATAAATTTAGTCCATGACTTTTGGGAATGTTGTAGATCAAAATCAACTGTCATCATTTCTGTTTGGCGGTCTACTTCATCAAAAGCTTTTGTTCACCATTTTTAGACTTTTCTTATCATCTGTATTTATAATTATAAATTTATTGTCTTTTGTGCATAAAGATTGCTTCAAGTTTGTCTATCTTCATCTTTTATCTCTTTATATATGGGTGTTTTGTACAATTTTCTTCTTATAGTATGGAATTTCAGATAAGAGGCAAGGCATGGAGAACATAATGCCCTTCTTCCCAAGGATCTCCCAGGATGTGAATTTATATGATGAGAATGTTATTTTTAGTCAGGATTTTGCACTTGGTATTCCAACTCACTTTCAGAATGATGGATCAGTTTTATATTTGCTGACTCATGCTCAGTCGCCACCAACTTTGAACACTGTTTATGATTGGCTTTTAGGAGAAAAACAGCGTTGCCTACTAGAAGCAACAGGTACTCACTGCTAAAAGCTATGCTTCATTATGAGCATGTCCTTCTGGTTTAATTGCATTTAAAATGTTAGGTGCATCGAAGGAAGGCTTAGATTCATACTATGATGGAATGTTGAATGAAGGTACTGCATTTCATATTACTTGGAAAGTAGCACCTAATTGAAAACTCTACTTGAACATTTATTTTGTTTTAATGTTTCAAATTTGAACAGGAACTACTTCTTGCCAAAATTCTCCCTCTCCTTCGGCTTCTGGTTGGTCACAGTATGACTCAACCCAATCAAACAAAGAAAAAAGCTTCCCGAAAACTGAAAATTTTCATCCTGATATTGGCCATATTTCTTGTGAGCCAAAATTGAATAACATTCCTGCAAAAGAGAAAGTTGTTAATGAAGATTTGCGTGATCTCTCTCAAATTTCAGGTCCCGAGAAATATGGAAATTCCAATCCTACTCCTATAAGTCAACTTGGTTTCCGGGATCCGGCTAGTGTTGGTCATGGACAGCAACTAAAAATAATAAGCATGGAGGTTGGTGTTTATGTGCTTCAACCTATTTATTTTACCTATCTCTGGTTGACATAATTTTTGGTGATTTTAACATGGTTCACCTTAGTCCACACATACATACACATGCACAAAGGAATAGAAGCAAAAAAAATTGTAATGAATGATGTTGGGAGAGGAGGGGTAGGGAAATATATTGAAAATGGGATGGAGGGAAGAAAAGTAAGAAAAAGAGCAAGGGAAAGGACGTAGAAAGTAGTAGGGAGGGTGATTCGTGCATCATCTTGTCTGCAGAGAGGAGAGAGGGTTACATGTTTGAATAAGCTTTTTGATTTAGGCCTCAATTATATTATTTGAACTATCTTTATAGTGACAAAGAGTTAGTGGAAGGGAGGCCGGGAAGTCGAGAAGGGATCCCTGAACAAGAAGAAGCTGCTTGAGGAAGCAATGGAGGGAAGGAGGGGTACATTTGGCTCTCTTCTTGAGTTGTTATATTAATTGGTTTGTCTCTTTGAAATATGTCTATAGTTAAGATTTCATTAAAATAGAGAAAGGGAGGAAGTTAGGTGAAAATACATGCAGTATATACTCCAAAGTAGGTTCCTATGTTTAGGTAGTTCATTCTGCTCAGGGATTGCACTTGAATGATCGTTGAATACCCCAAAATCCTTTTTGATAAATCTTGTACCATAATAACCATAGGTATTCTAACTAAAAAACGACACACACACACATGCTTAAAATATATATATGCATACAGATATACCTTTATTTACATAAAGTTGAATATGTATGATCGAGTAGACATGCTTGCTTTGCTTGTAGGCTTATAGATTTGGTTATGATGTAGAACGAAATCTGAAGTTTTCAGATTTGCTCTCAGAAATCAGAAAAGAAAAAAAAAATTAATTCCAGCTTCAGTACTGGGAAGGAAAATCATAGAGGGGCTTTAGTCTTTAGTCCAGCAAGTCTTGACCGTGAGAGAGAGGAGCTTGGAGAAAGAAATAAGCAGGCATAAGAGGGAGGCAGCTGTATGAGGTGAGTTAGGGAAAAAGAATTTACTTCCTATTCCCAATTCCAGATTTAGGAAATAAAACCAGAGATTGGATTTAGGGAATTTTGGGTAAGGGCCAAGTTAGAGATTTAAAATTATTTCCCAAAGCAATAGTGGAGGATTAGGAAATAAATTTTAATCAAAGCCAATAAATAGAGGAAGAGGCCGGCAGCATCCAAAGGGAAAGATGGGTCTAGAGCAATCAATTGGGTTACCTAATTTGGGTTTTGGGATTTAGGAAAGAATTATTTAGATTCATTTGAATTTAAAATTCAAATAGAACTCATTTACAACTTTCCAAACATAGAACGACAAATTAGGAAAAATTTCAAATTAGTTGGATTTGAATTTTGAAAACCGCCCAAGATTAAATCACCCAAATTAAGCAAGGAATTAATGGGGATGAGGAGGTGGATGGGGAACCGGTGATTAGAGGGTTGGCTGGCGGTATGGGAGCTTGGGTGGGATGTTGGCCGTGGGTGTTGGACGGGGAAAAGAGGGGTTTTCGGGTGAGGCTAGAATCCGGCGGCCAAACGAAGATGGGGAGGAGGAAGAAGATGAAGATAATGACGAAGAGCAATAAGAAGGAACAAAAGCAAATAAACAAAATATCAAAGATACAACCGCGAGCCCGGACACATCCTGCGGCTGACGGGTACTACGTTGCCCTTCTCTAAGGGACTTCACGCCACGAGCCCGGACCCATCCTGCGGCTGGTGGAAACTCCGACTCCCTCCCATAGGGATTTCACTAACATTCTTCCCAAAGAACCCAAGTGCAAAACGCAAATTTTTTTTATTAATAATCCATCATCTTCTAATACAAGAGCAAAGGCCTCTATATATAGGCCTTAAAAGAAACTAAAAGACAATTTTGCCCCTTGAGCTTACATAAAATAAATCCCTTGAGTAAGGGTAAAAAAAGAAAAATGAATAATTAAATAAAAATTACAATTAATAAAATTAGATAAAATGAAGGAATCTCGGCTGTCGATCTTGGTTTCTTCCTTTGATTAATGCCCACCGTCGGATGTCCGCATCAGGTTAATGTAGTCTAATCAATCTCTAAAGTTGTTCCTGGACAAACTTTTCAAGTTATTGTTATTTCCTTTTCTATTGCATTTGTATATCATGAATATCATGTGACTTGGATACTTGCATCTGATATTGCAGATCCTGGCAGAATCACGGGGTGATCTTAAGCCTGACCCAAAATTCGATGCTATTAATATCTTATCTCTGGTAGTTCGAGAAGATACAAGCAACGTGTGTCAATCTTATGTCCTTTTACGTGTTATTGATGAGAAACTGGGTGAAAAGTATGGTTTGTTTCATTATGTGGTTTTTTTTCCTCATCTTGTATGATCTTTTTTAAGGGCTAATTAGATGCTCGTGCTAGTATTGTCTTTTCCGTTGGGCATTGTATTGGTAGATGTTTCTTAAATGACTTAACATCCTTAGTTTTGACTGAAACTGTAACTGGCATTTCTTTGGTGTTCCTAATTTGTAATCTTTAGATGAACTTGCTATTGCTGCATGTTAGTCCCTTCATTAAATAATAACTAAGTTTTGATCCATATTATAATTTCTAGCTACATCCCATCAATGCTGTCAATATTTATTTTTCTCTCCTCCCATTCCTAAATTCTCCCAGCTCTTTTTTTTTTAATATAACTTTCGTAGAAGTTGTCATGTTAATACTATTAGCTCTATTATCATGTTAAGTAGTAGATTATCATTGTTTGTGTCATGATTTTACCTTGGAACTTGGAAGAATTGGAACTTGGATGAATTGGGTGGGACTGGATGATTGTTATGAAATGGTGTGAGTGGACAACATTTGTCGATCTACCATCATAAGAACATTTTCATAGATAATTCATGACTTCATATGTTTTTTACTAGCACTTCATATAATAATTGATAACAATGTATAATCATGTGAATTCATTATCTTAACTCTTAAGTATGAAAGAGCCACAAGATCTTGATATTTTCATTGAAGAATTGTAATGTTAAAAAAATTTTAATGTGTATGTCACATCCAGATGCATTATCATACGATCATCATTACAAAATTCATTTAGATAAACATCACAACTCTATGAATCTGACAAACCATAAAATAACACATTTGAGTGAAAATGTTTTAAACTACACTATTCATCTAATATACCTGCACATACCTAATTAAAGGTGTTCCTCATCTAATGTGCATAAAATTCTCTTCACAATTCATCTACTGCATGCGAAGCTTTCCTGAAAATAGTCATAAACTAAAAGGCCTGAGTTTTATATATATATATAGGACTATCTTGGTACCCATTCATGCGGTAACTTTATTATTCTGAACAGTTGATTTAATATTGCACTTTAAAACAATAACAATGGCATATTATTTGGAAATCAAATCAATGAGGGGCCAATCGCTGAGCGGTTCGCATGAGGGAGAGAGGCAAAGGCAGGTTAGGGATTGTGTTGGCTTGGGCGATTTCACGTGTAAGGGTGTTCAAGGCGGTCAATTCGATTTATTACATTGACTTTGGTCGATCGGCTTGAATTTATTAACTATGATTGTTTCCTACTTAAGATGGCCTTTAAGCCTTCCTCAGAGAAAAAAGGGTGATGAAAACTTGATAGTAATCATATATATGCGTGTCTATGTGCACATTTGTGTATACTTCTACTAATCTCAATTATTTTGAACTTTCAAATTTATTTCAGATCAGTAATTTATGAACTTTATGATTTCAGAGTTTTTGAAATGCTTGGGATTTTAACTTGAGCATTTCCCTTTTTGTATCTAGTTACTAGGACCAACAGGTTTTACATAAAATTATCTTTTCTCTTCATTTCCGAATTCTTTTCAAACCATATTGATTGAACGTAGGCACCTGTTGGAAAATCATTACCTGGCTAACTTTTCTCTTGTTATCATTGGAGATTGGATTGGGCAATATGTTCACATTGAACTTGCTTATGCTGTTAATTAATCATAATTTTATCTGTTCATTTTATCAGAGAATGAATTGTGTTATGGTCCAGCTCACTTTTTTTTTTCTCTGTTTCAGAAATGGCAATGGTGTTTCTGTTTGCAACCTTTTTTTTTTCACTGAGGAAAAGCTATTGCTAGAACACTTTGTTGAGATTATTTCTTATTTTGATCCAGATGTTCTTATGGGATGGGAAATTCAAGTTGGCTCCCTTGGTTATCTTGCTGAACGAGCATTATACCTAGGTATGAACTTACTCAAGAAATTATCCCGTACACCATTTCATGAAATAAGGGACAAGTTGGAGGATTCAGGGAATTCCAAATTGTCTGATGTGCATCCCGGAGTAATAATTACTGAAACTGTTATTGAAAATTCAATAATTGAGGATGAGTGGGGTCGTACTCATGCTAGTGGTTTACATGTTGGTGGAAGGATTGTGCTTAATATTTGGCGGCTTATGCGTGCTGAATTAAAACTCAATATGTATACTGCTGAAGCTGTGGCTGAAGTAGTTTTGAGGCAAAAGATTCCATTGTTTTCTCACAGGAAATTGAACCAATGGTACTCAAGTGGCATTGGACGAGCAAGGGATAAATGCATTGGATATGTTATGGAGAGAGCAATGCTTAATCATAAAATTATGGATCAGCTTGATATGGTATTTATGTTGATCTTGATCTTTCTACAAAATTTAATTTCATGTCTCTTTTCTTTCTATTCCACTTGATTTTTTAGTGATCCATTTTTTTTATATGTGCCCCATGGTATATATATATGTTATTTATCACGTGTTTAATTTTTATGGTGTTCAATTCTTCAGATCAATCGGATATCTGAGCTTGCTCGTATATTCGGTATTGATTTCTTTTCTGTAATAGCTCGAGGTTCACAATTTCGTGTTGAGTCTATGCTCCTCAGGCTGGCACACACCCAAAATTATCTTGCCATTTCACCGGGGTATCAGCAGGTTAGTTTCTGCCTTTTGGCATTGATTGCTGAATGCTAATATGCTTAAACTGAACCCTGTTTCTTTTTTTCCTTTGCAATATTCATAAAATTTTAGATGAAGGAACTTCTTAAAACTTCCATTTCCACTTCACCGTAATAGAAATATAAGCAACAACTTTATGCTCTTAATAAGATAAAAACTATGAGTATTACTCATGCCTTATACATCACGTGAACGATTAACAACTTAGAATTCTGTTTCTTCCTGGGTTTTTTGCCCTTCTTGAAAATTGAAGTACTTTTGTTCGATTGGGTGAGTGAGAGGAATATTAGATACAGTTAAATACTTATTTAATCTTTAAGTTGATAGTAAAATCCATATCTAGGTTACACTTTGCGCAAAGGAAAATTTATGAGCCTCCTTTGATGGTGATTATCTATTTTTTTGTTGAACGTCCACATGTTACCAGGGGTTTTAAACCAGAAAAATATTTTATTTTCATTTTTGAATGAGAAGGTAAAAACTGTAGTTGTACATTACTACATTAACACTAACAACACATCATTTATACATATATTTTTTATTCTTTTTTTTTTTTTAAATTTAACATAGTACTTACAACTCTTACTACTGATGCTTAAGTCTGGCTATTAAAAAATATGAAATGTCCTTTCAGGTTGCCTCACAGCCTGCAATGGAGTGTTTACCTCTTGTCATGGAACCGGAGTCTGGGTTCTATGTTGATCCTGTTGTTGTTTTAGATTTTCAATCTCTATATCCATCAATGATCATAGCATACAACCTCTGCTTTTGTACATGCTTAGGGAATGCCATGTCATCACGGGAAAATGTTCTTGGTGTTAGTTCTTATTCACCGGATGTGCAGATTTTGAAGGACTTGAAAGAAAAACTTATGCTGACTCCAAATGGGGTTATGTTTGTTCCACCAGAGGTAAGTGTAATCTGATGGAATGATAAGTTCCTTTCGGAAGGGTTCTTCCTTTTTAATGTTTTCATGCAGCATGCTTCTGATATTATCTTATGTTTAGATTAGATAATTGTATATTTCTATATGAACGCAGAATACTATGATGCACCGACACACTTCTTGAAGAGAGAGTACAGTGTCGGGCACGTGCAGTGTCGGACACGGACACGTGCCCGACACAGCTAGGACACGTGTCGGACACGAACATAATTTTTATATTTACTAAATCAAATAAAACATCACATTCGCTCGTATATGCATCAATACAATTATTGAAAGGCATAATTATTAGCGAATGAAGCACTTTTTTCTTTGAGAGGCAGTAATGATTATTGAAAAACTTTAGGCTTTATGCCTACCTGTGTTTGTAATTTTTAGTGACATGGAATAAGAAGAATTTTGATTATGTATGGAAGATTTTTATGTGCATGTTTTATTGTAATTCTAGTTGATGGGATTTGTTGAAATAGGAAAAGTTAGAATAATATATAAAATATTTAGAATATAAAAGATTTAAGATTAATATAATAAATATTAATATATGATATTCAATGAACTATTATGGGAGAGAACTATAGAACTAGAAAAATATAGAAGTAAATAGATACATTCTTTGTGATTTATATTAGAGGTTAAAGAAATATTATGGGGAACTAGCGAACTAGAGAAATAAATAGATACAAAGAAGAACCAATTTTCATTCTATGATATTTAATGAACTATTGCAAATCTTTCTCTTGATGAACCAGAGTTTGAAGCAATGATAATCAATGATGATGATATTAAGGTAAAAAACAAACCTCTCAAGCTAATTAGTAGTTGAAACTTGAATACTTGATGTTGTAGTAAATAGTTATTATCTTATATTTTTGTGGTTGTACTAGACATTTTTTATATTTTTGTAATATGCAGAAATGATTGGGGCAGTGGTTTTGGAAATGTTTGTTAAAGTTTAAAAAAAAAGTTCTGTAAGAATATTTTGGTGTGAGATTTGTAGATTGTTCTAATTACGGTTATTGTGCCACCATGGGTTGTTGAGATTTCCTATGCGATTTCTTTTGGTGGTGGTAGTTCATTGATTCTGGTGATTTTAAAATTAATATTTTGTTTATTTGGTGAAATTTATTTAAACCTAAATCAAGATTGGTTTTGTCATTTTGTGCTAACCTTATTTACTAGTCTAGGTTCGAGGAGTATGTAAATAGAAGTTTGAGGCAATTGAGTTCTTTTGGCTTCAATAAATTTTGTCTTCCTGTTTCAATTTTTTGTGATTGTCGGGTCAATGTGTGATTTCTTAAAGTGCGGTATATTTCAAATTTTCTGATTTAGAGGGAAATAATGTTCTTATATTGACGTGGGGCATGGTTTTCTTATCTTAGAAATTTTATTCTTTTGGTTGTTCTTTCTAAAGGATTCATGTCATGATTATTCCACAAGTTTTACGTTGGCTGTCGACTACCTAACATAACCTTTCACTTTTCTCATCTAGGGCTTGGGACCTGGTGACAACAATATTAAACTATTGTATTCAAGATTTTGATTTTAGGATTTAAACTATGATGTTTATATTGGAGTCATACTAGAAATGATGTAGGTGTGATTATAAATAAGAATTTGAAGGATAATCTTGTACAAATTAATAGAATTATAACTTTAAATATTGTTGTTGATGCTAAGATTATTGATATTATAAGTATTTATTCTCCTCAACTAGGTTTAGATATTTTTTCAAAATTTAATTTTTGGAATGACTTAGAAGAACGAATACAAAAAATACATCTTCAAGAAAGAGTTTTTATTGGAGGTGAGTTAAATAAACATATTGGTAGACAGGTTGAAGATTTTAAGAGCATTTTTTATTGTTGTGGGTTTTGAACGACTAATAAAGGTGATAAGACCTTATTAGATTTTTTTCTAGCTTATGATTTTGTAAATGCTAAAACCTTATTTAAGAAAAGAAATAAGCATCTCAATCAACTATAAGAATGAATAGTAAAACTTAGATTGATTATTTTTTTTATAAGAAAAATAGATCTTTTAGATTGCAAAGATTGTAAAGTTATTCCGAGTGAAATTTTATGTACCGAGTATCACTTATTAGTGGAAGTGAAATTATAACCACGCATCAGGACATGTGCATATCTGACTCATACGTTGTATATTTTGTTAAATAAAATAAGTTATAATGCGAAGAATATTCTATTAGTGGATACTCTCTAATACTTCTGTGAAAATACAAGTGATGTTCTGTTACACCCATGTGAAAGTGCAAATCAAAGTACATGTTAATGCTTATAATATCCAATTTTAAGTAATGAGTTTTGAAAAAAATAATTCTGATGCACATTTAAGTTTAAAATATATTTTGTTGTCCTTCTTATACTACTGACATTAAGAAATCCCTCTGTTTATATTTTTTAAGAGTAAAATTATTTATTGTTAATTTATAATGAATATTTAAATCCTTTATTTGTACACTATAAATATGTGTATTGATTTCTGCAATTGGAATTGTGATAGCCTACTGAGCCTATGAACGTTCACCCTATTTTATAAAATTTAAGGAAAAAGGAATTATTTAGCAAAGTAAAGATTGATAAGGGAAATTTCGTTAGGAGCTTTTGTATTAAGGTATTTTGTAGTCCAGTTTCTATTTTGATGTATAAAACCATCTCATATTGGATTTTTTGTATATGATTGGTCTTGGGAATGCAAATATGGATTAGTGTTTTTGTTATTTTTTATTCATTGTATTATTTAGTTGGCTCTAAAATATTCTGTATTATAGTTGAGATGTCTATGTTCAGGGTTTAAGAAATCTTCTACCACCCTTTACTATATAGAGCCGTTGGGCCAAACTACTAGTGAGAGACACTTGCCACATCCTTACTGGCAAGAAATTACTTGAAAATGAATATTAGTGATATTCTAGACTGAACATTTACACTTTATAAAGTGATGTTATTTTTGAATTCATCGTTCTTACCAAACAATTGCAGAGTGTGGATGAATTGTTGCTTAAAGTTATGATTAAATTTTATTTTAAACATTTGAGTTTTGATAGGCATTAAAATTTTCAAATTGAAATAAAATTTGAGAATCCGGTTGAGATTTATTTTTAACACGGCCATCATCAGGGTGATGTTAAAGTTACTTTAATTATATTTGTATTTTATTGGAATTTGGAGGCATTAAAAGATAGTCCCTTTTAGTTTATATTCATTTTCAACACGGCTATGATTAAGGATTTAAATAATTTATATTTTTTGTTATTTGAATTTTGTCAACTTTCATTCACTAACAGATGATCATGTTTTCAATTATTAACTTTATAAGTTGTTATGCTAACGTTGAAATCAAGAGTTTATGTTTTTATAATGAATTTTATTTAAAGAGGCTTTGAAGGCCTAATGTAAACTAAAAGTCAAATTATCTTAGTGGATTTTACGATAGTGCATTTTCTTATTAATTAAAGTCATGTCAACTCCAATCCTTTAAAAGAAAAGGATCAGACTTAAAATTTAGGTCATGTTTAATTGGCGTAGTCTTCTTGGACTTCAAATTTTGGAGTTCAGTGCGTCAGTCGGAGCACATGCGAGTAATTTATATGCACGTTTCTCGATAGACTTGCATGATTTTCAGTGCGCTCATGTGATGCACTTGCATGCATTTTGATGCATTTGCATAGCCTATTCTCAAACTTTCAATTTGCATTAATTTTTTCATTTTAAAATGAGAACACGCTTTTGGGTGCAATTGCACATCGAGATAGTTGCATACTTTCTAGTACTTTGAAGCACTTCGCGAAGTGATAGCATACTTCTCGAGGCACTAGCACATTCCTTGCAGCTACTACATGCTTCTCTAAGCGATATGCTACATTTGGTTGTTGCATGTCTCTCGAGATGGTGACAATCTTTTTGAGGCGGTAGCATGCTTTGCGGACATGCTTCTTGATATTATTGTGAGCTTCTCAAGGCAGCATGTAAGTTTAGAATTTTACATTTTTTTTAATGCGAACAAGATTTAAAATACTCAAATTTGATTATTCGTAAGTATTCGTTATTAGAATGCAGGATCGTCTCATTTTAAATTTTGAATGCAACAACACCTTCTGGTTTTTGCACATTTAGACTATATTCTATGACAACTCGGAAAAACAAAATTATGAGATTTTGATCTGGTTCATTATTATTTCCCTATCATCTGCTTTAAGTGAATGATGGTAAATTTACTCATTCATAAATTAAATCATTGTTATTATACAGTATTATTTTCCTATCATCTGCTTTAAATGAATGATGGTAAATTTACTCATTCATAAATTAAATCATTGTTATTATACAGTAGGCACTTAGCACCTAACGCGTAGGTCTAATTAAAAGTTCTCCCACATCACTGGGAGGTGTAATTAATCATAAGGTTTGCACCTATGAGATACATTGAATCATATATTAAAATCCTTGTAAAATGAGGGTTAAAACTTTAGGTATTGTTTTATATGTAATCTAATGTCTTCTAAAAATTTTAACTTATAATAAAATTCTCTCAGAAGAGTCGGGTGTGAATTTTTGAAGCCCATGGTTAGCTTATTTAATTGGCATAACTTCACGTTTTATTTAGCTTTTTAAATTTTTGCAAAAGTTTGTATGAATTGTCAAGTTTGTTGGATAAGAATTTTTTTAAGCTAGGCAGGTTAAAGTGAAAGTAATTAGGGTGGTGATTTTAGGAATACTTATGAATTACAAAAAACATTAAATAAAAGTTGTGGCGATGTTATTTTATGTGAGAGTTGTCGATTTACTACGATTTGTTGATATTTCCTGCTGGATTTTCTCCGGTGGTGGCAATTCAACTAAGCTGGGAGAATCTTAATTAAATTGTCAATATTGTTTTATTTGATGATGTTAGTTTGAATTTAATTTGGGATTAATTTATATCAACCTTATATGTTAGCTTAGATTATGAGGAGCTTATAATTACTGGTCTCATTTATGTAATTGAGAACTTTTGAATTGAAAAGAATTTCTCTTTATTTTTTAATCTTGTGAGTGTCGAATGGATATATTATTTCAAGTGTGGTACAGCTCTGACATCTTATTTTGAGGTAGTTGTCTCCTCTTACTAGCATAAGGATAAATTTTACCTACTATGATGGTTTTATTCATTGTCTATTTTTTCTATATTATTTTTTATTGGCCAGTTTAGTGTTTTCAGTATTGGCAATAAGTGATTTGTCAAAAATCAAAATTTATGGAAATTATTTTGTTTGCTCATTGATTTTAATTATTTTCAAATTCTTATTGAAATTCTTTTAAATTTACGATCATTTCATTGTCAAATGGGCTTGAACTCTACTTTCGTGTGTTATCATTTAAAATATGACAAATTCTTGGTATACTTAAAACAAATTTAAAAAAAGTTGTTGGTATAATTGATAATTTGTGATATGTGACTCTACTTTTTGAATTAAAACATACTACGCATTATATTAGTTTAGAAAATCCCGATACTTAGTTGTCTTGTCTTATTTTATCGAGATTATTACTTAGTTGAAATTCTTATGGAATTTATATTTCCAAGAGACTTGTCTCTCTACTTTTGCTTGAATTAATTTCTGTGATTCTTTAATATCTATTTAGAACAAATTATGATTTTCTATTTGAAAGTTCGCAAATGTTACCTCAAGTATCTTTCTTGTGTGATGCAGGTCCGGAAAGGCGTATTACCTCGACTCTTGGAGGAAATATTATCTACTAGGATAATGGTGAAGCAAGCCATGAAGAAATTAAAGTCTTCACAGCTAGTTCTCCACAGGGTATGTTAGCCTCCATCAATTTCAGATTAAAGCCTTCCCACACTACCACCCCTACATGCCCCACTGCCCATCCCCACCCACCTACAACCACCACCAAAACCCAATACCCTTTTTGTTGCATTTTTTTTATCAACCAAGTCAATATTGGGTCAAGCACAATATGCAAAAGTCAAAAGATATATATGATTTGGATTTTTTTTGCCATATATAAGCTCGTTAACTCTATGGTTTAACTTTTTCTTCTGTGCCGGGGGGTGTAATGTTGAAGAGTTTAACAAAGGGGATGAGGGGAATGCATCTTGATAAATAGAGTGGAGGTTGAGTGAGGAGTCCATTATTACTTTCCTAGATCGTGTAATCTATTTTCACTTTCTTCCACCTGTGACCTTTTTGTCCTCCTTTACAATGCAAGAGGCTATCATTGTTACTTCTCAAAGAAGAGCATAAGGGCATTGTTTCTCCAATCTGATGCACCCGTATTCTTGTCCATTTCATTCTTAAAACTAGAGAAGTACTTCTTTACTTCTCAAAGAAGTACTTCTCTGCCTACTTGTGATGCTAATTAGCAGGTTTACAGCCTTCATTTACTGATAATATAATTGTAGCTTCACCTCATCTGATGCACCCGTCTTCTTGTCCATTTTTTAAGAGAAGGCTTGGAGAGTATATGTTATTAGTAGTGATAGTTAAAGTTTTAACATTTGCTGAATTATTTGAAACAAAAAGGGGTCTGTAATCCTAACCTATAAAACCTAATTATCTCTATTTTACGGCAACCTCCCAAATGCATTCGAAGTGCTTCTGGTTTTGTAAATTAAAAATTTGTATCTTCAGAATCCCTCAACAAGAAGGTTTTTTGGTTTATTAGTTTTTTTTTTTTTCATAAACCAAGTTGCCATTTTTGCACCATAAAGATAGGGATATTATTAGTAGAATTCAAGTTGGATGGATGAAGTGGAGGAATGCATCGGATTTGTTGTGTGATAGAAAAGTACCGCTCAAACTTAAGAGAAAATTCTATAAGATGGTGATTAGACCTGCAATGCTTTGTGGCGTAGAATGTTGATCATTAAAAGAGAAGCATAATATTAAGTTAATTGTTGCAGAGATGAAGATGCTCAGGTGGATGAGTGGCTTTACTCTTAGAGACAGGATACGAAATGAGCATATACGTGAAAAGGTTGGAGTAGCTCCAATGGAAAATAAGATTAGATAGAGTCGTCTTAGATGGTTTGGTCACGTAAAACGGTGGCCTTTTGAAGACCGAGTTAGGAGAGTAGATGTATTAGATTTAACCTATGCTAAGGAAGGTAGAGGTAGACCTAAAAAGACTTGGTTAGAAAATATTAGCAATGACCTTTCTTTGTTAGATCTAAATGAGAATTTGACTCTTAATCAGGCGCAATGACCTTTCTTTGCTACTCCAACCTTTTCACGTAGTGGATAAAGGCCTGACGTTGTTGTTGTTGTCGTTGTAAACCAAGTTGCCATTTTCCTTGCTAATGGTTTACTACATCTAATGCTATGAAATTTTCTATTTCCCCCCCCCCCCCCAAATTTTTTTTTTTCCCCCCCCCCCCCCCCCAAATTTATGGATACTTCAAACTACAATATTTTGAACATTTAATTGTGCTTTGTAGTTATATATTCCGTTCTACAGATACTCAACGCACGCCAACTTGCTTTGAAGTTGATTTCAAACGTCACTTACGGTTACACAGCTGCTGGCTTTAGTGGTCGCATGCCATGTGCTGAAATTGCTGACAGCATCGTCCAATGTGGTCGGAGGACGCTTGAAACTGCAATATCTTTTGTGAACCAACATGAAAAGTGGAAAGCGAAGGTTATTTATGGTGATACTGACAGGTAATAATCTGTCATGTGATCTTATTTACTTTTTTCTCTTGTTTAAAAACTTTGTTTTCATCTCTACATTTTGCTTGCTCGTACAGCATGTTTGTTCTCCTTAAAGGTCGCTCAAAAGAAGATGCTTTTATAATTGGAAATGAGATCGCATCAGCAATTACTACAATGAATCCAGAGCCAGTCGCATTGAAACTGGAAAAAGTCTATCAGCCTTGCTTTCTTCTTACAAAGAAACGTTATGTTGGTTACAGCTATGAAAGTCCTGAGCAGGAAAAGCCCACATTTGATGCCAAAGGCATTGAGACTGTACGAAGAGATACCTGCCCAGCTGTTGCAAAGACCTTAGAGCGTTCAATAAGATTAATTTTTGAAAGTAATGATTTATCAGAGGCAAGTTATTCAACTTTATTTCCCTGAAAGTATTCTACTTTAATTCCAAGTATATTCCCATTCAACTATGTTGCACCGATACGGATACAACGACACGGATACGACACGATACGGATACGGGACACGTCAATTCTTAAAAATACAGGATACAGCTACGGCATGGACACGTCATTATAATTTGTAAATCATACGTAAAAAAAAAAAAAAAAAATCAAAGCATAATATTTGAAATGACAAAAAAAAAAACAACATCATTTGTAGCCTTGTAGCTTATAATATCAAAATAGAAGTAAGCATTGAGTTAAGGGAAGAGGTAAAACTCATTTGCCTAATAAGAATTTTGTGGCATGATTCCACTAATTATGTTGTTGCATGATTTGGTGGCATGTTTATTGAATAATATATGAGAGCTAAACATATGTTTGTTTTTTTTTTTTTTCATTTAAGAAGACATACAAACCCTAATAATATGATTTTTTAATACATGAATAAAAAATCAAAGCATTACAAATGCAAAATAATTGACGCCATGATATCATATTTTCTAGTAAAATGACATCAATGTAAATTTCTCGCGGGTTTGAAATGAGAGAACCTTGCTCGCAGCCGCGGAAGTAAATATGATGCGTCTTTTTTCGTTGTCTTTCAACGGGCACATGTATTCGATATGCATGTCCTTTTGAAATTAAATAGTATTTAATTGGATACGGCTTTGACGTATCCGGCACATATCTGTGCAGTATCAGACGCGTATCGCGTCCGACACGTATTCAATACAACACGCCTTCATAAATAGGTGTATCGGTGCAAGATAGCCATTCAATCATTTCATCACATTATTTGCTATTTATAAACCTGTTGCACTGCTTTCAATATAAGACGACTTGGCCTTTATACGCAGGTGAAATCATATCTGAAGCGTCAATGGACAAGAATACTAGCTGGCAAGATATCCCTTAAAGATTTTGTTTTTGCTAAGGAGGTTAGATTAGGCACATACAGCAGCAGATCCTCTTCCGTCCCACCAGCAGCAATAGTTGCAAAGAAAGCCATGGAAATGGATCCCAGAGCAGAACCACACTATGGAGAACGAGTTCCTTATGTAGTTGTTCATGGAGAACCCGGATCTCGCCTCATGGACATGGTGGTCAATCCTTATTATCTTTTAGATTTGAATTCTCCATACAGATTAAACGATCTATATTATATCAACAAGCAGATGATTCCTGCACTGCAAAGGGTGTTTGGTCTCCTTGGAGCTGATGTTAACAAGTGGTTTTCTGCTATACCTCGTCCAACCAGACCTGTACTTGCTAAACGACATACCCTTATGTCGCATGCTCAGTCATTCCATGAAGATGATAGTGATAATTCTATGGTTTCTAAGAAACCAAATGCCAAAAGAATGCGGATAGATACTTATTATTCTTCAAAGCACTGCATCTTGTGCGGCGACTTGATTCAATCATTGGAGCATTTCTGTGTAAAGTGCTCACGGAAAAAAGCACTTCTAGCGGCTACTGTGGTTGGAAGAACTTCAAAAAAAGAAAGTGAGATGCTACACCTGGTTGAGGTAACTCTTCTTTGTGTCCACTGTGCTCTTAGGCTCTATTTGGGACTGTTTTTTTACTGCTTCTTAAAGTAATTTTTTAATAAGAAAGCTGCTTTGAGAAGCATAAAAAAGCCGTCCCAAACGAAACCTTATTCTTCATTTTGCTGTCATTCAGCTTATCGGTTTGAATTGCATCAATTTTTTCATTCATCATAATTTAGTGTTTTAGTGATCGTCTTTTATTTTTTTCTTGTGAAAATGAAACAGGAAAGAACCTCTTAGAACATCTGGATACAGGTCAGATTAAAAAAAAAAGCAAAATTTAAAAATAGGAATCAGATTGCCTGACATAGGATCATAATTGTCATTTATAAAGTGTGCAGAATAGTCTTCCAGACTAATGTTGAAGCTAATTTTCTGCTTAAGATTGTTTATTGGTGATTGCATGACATTTGCCTATTTCTGTTTCAAAATTCTTTTATAGAGAATTAAAATTTTTTCTCTGCTGCTTGGTGCTACTAACTGTTGCACTCATTTAGGAATTGTTACTGCTTTCTGAGAGATATATTTAGTTGCATTCATATAGACTTCATACCTTTTTTCTCATGGGCAGTCTATGCAGTAAGTACAAAATCTTTGCTTGATGCAATAGAAAGCTTAGAATTAGGCATATTGGTATTTTCAATCAAAATTCTGTCTTATATCAGACTAATGGATTTATGATGTTTGACTGGAGTGATTCCACTCCAGTATTGATTTCTCTGTTAATCCTCGAAAAATCCATATTCACAATCTTCAACTTAGAAACAGCCAGGGATTTATTTTGCTGCTAGTTTTAAGTAGGATTTAAGCTTTGTTTGGGACAGCTTTCTTACTGCTTCTTAAAACAACTTTTTAATAAAAAATTAAGAAGCAGTAAGAAAAGCCATCCCAAGCCTTAAGCTTGATTTTGCCTAAATCTCATCACAAAGGGGTTTGAAATCCTACCTAAATATTTAATTTAGCATGATTTGATAAGTCTTAGCTCATATTTAGGACTCTTTATTAAATCATAAGAGAACTCGGATCTAAGAAATATATGTAATCAGATTTACCAACAGACTGTTTGGTTTGAAATAAAATGAATATAAATTATTCAAAATACAAGTGTTATGAGAATAATTGATATTTAGTTTGAAGTAAAACAAATACAATGTAAAATTTTATCGTATTTGGAATGCACCATCGAGTATAAATTTGGTTCATTTGAAATTCAATAGATTTGGGCAATTTTTAAATAATCATAAATTCATTGTCATTATCATCGCCCTCCGCCTCTTGTCATCCTCCCTGCCAACGCCGTCCACCACACCAGCTACATCACTCAAATCTTGTAAACTACATCCAAAGAGTTCAGAGATTTGATTGAGTTTCAGAATCGTGCGACCAAATAGTTCTACCATAATTATTTACTAATTTCTATTAAACGCTGCTTGGATAGGATTGATCAAATCTATTCTAAAATTCTACCTTCAACCAAATAGAGGAGAGACCCTAAAACTGTGTCAGTTCCTCTACAGATTTGCAGGCACTGTGGAGGCGGCGATTGGATTGTTGAGAGTGGTGTGAAATGCATATCGCTCTCATGCGCAGTCTTCTATGAGAGGAAGAAAGTTCAGAAAGAACTACAATCTCTTTCTTCTTTCGCTACAGCTTCAGGATTTTATCCACCCTGCGATGCTGAGCTGTTTTAGTCTTCATTTTGCTGGTCTTTCTATGAATAAGTTAAATGTGTAATTATGTTCAATTTATTTGTTCGTTTATGTACCATATGATTATCATTACTCTGTTAGGCTTTATTTGGTATGACTTTCTTTCTGCTTCTTAGAGCAGCTTTTTAGTACAAAAATTTTAATTTTTGTATTAGGAAGCTGCTTTAAGAAGCAATAAGAAAATCGTCCCAAATGAAGTCTTATTCGTGCATCTTTATGGATAAGAAGTATTTACAAGCTCACCAAAAAGAATCATTTACTCCATTGTGTTATTATCTTCAAAGAGCTCTTTTGATAAATGACTTGGGAGTTTAGTTAGATGAGTTTTTAGCTAGTCTTGACTTGACTCTTTAATTAGCCCATTTAAAAAATATTAATGTAAAATATATTTAAAATATAAAACTTCTATTATAATAATATTAAAAATATTTTAAAGTTATATTTTATTTTTTATATCAAATGATTTTTTATTATTTATTTGTTAGATTCCCATTCTTTTATAATTTTATTATAACATTTATTTGAATCATGATTTTTTTTAATTCATTATTTGTTCATTATAATTGAGCTGGCTCCAATTTGCATCATTTGAAATTTGCTCAAGTATGTTGCAATTTAAATTTGGTTTGAACGCAAGAATCTAAATTTGAAGATGATTCAAACCTGATTAAAAATTAGTTAGAATTTTGATTTGAATAATATTTTAACCTAATTTTTAATAAAGTTCAATCTTTGTTCAAATTTGGATCGGGTCTCATTCGAATTAATTCACATGAGGGATTATACTCATTGTTAGATCTTATTGATACTGGTTCCCAAGCATCACAAACTCTCCTTCTCCTTCTCTTGTTGAATTCAATCACAAATTTTGATTTGCCGTCACGCACCGACGAATCTTTTTTATCACTCCTTCACAAGCCATTGGATCCCATCAATATCAATTCCTAATCATCATAAACTTTCCTTCTCCTTCACATAATGCTAGATATTGTCGATGTCTGCTCGCTACTCATCACAAACACACTCACACGACAAATTCCCCTTCTCCTTATAAGTCATTAAACTCGCATAAACCGATATACAAGCTGATCTAAGGGTTTTAAGTTAATTTTAGCATTCACGTGCATTGTAATGGCTTTTATTTTGAGATTCATTTCAAACCTTATTGCTACCATAATAAATTAAAAATAAATTTTGAGGCGGCATTTTCAATACAGACATACACATACAACATTGTGTATATGCATCATAAAGCTTGAAATTCACAAAATATTTCACTATTCTATTTCTTGTAGGAATACCCATGAAATTCCAATAAACATTGGGGTATTACATAAGAGACCATTCACACACATATACACACAACATTTGAGTTTAAATACATCGTAATATTTGAAATTGAAAAAATGTGTTCACTATTCTATTTCGTGGAGAAATATACTGTAAAATACTCATGAAATTAGAATAGACGTTGGAGTATATTATATAAGCGACCCCTCGTGCAAAATAACATTCTCAACACATTATTCTTCTCCATCAACTCTCATTCATGAGTAATTGTCAAGAGGCAAAATTTTAAGGCAACATTTTTGCCTCTTTGGATGGCTAGTATTGTTGTTGAAGGTTAGTTTTTATATATTTGAAAAAAAAAAAAAAAAATCTTCAATGATGTTATATATTTACCCTTTGAATTCTATATCAAGAATATCATTAGATGTGAAATTACAAGCTCAAACATTGCTTGAAACTTTAGCTTTGATTGAAACATGTTTAGCTCATGAACAATTATTATTTAAAAAGCTTATTTGAAGATTGTTTGTGTTTCAAAGTCTTGATCGAATAATAGTTGAAGAAGCTTCAATCATAATTCGAAAAAATAGTTCAACTAGGATTCAAAAAGAATTTGTTCAATGATGAAATATTAGTTAAAAACTTCTAACAATGTTGATCACATTTTGATCAAGGTCAAATTTATTATTTGCAATCTTGTCTTTTAAGGATTTACTTATCCGAGTTTTTTTCCTTATGCATGTACATATATGTTCTGGTCATATCTAGAGCAAACGGAGTGATGGAGAAAATTATTAGATAATTTGAGCAATTTGAGGTTAATGTCATTGTTGTGTTGAATATGAGAGGTAAAAATACACAATATAGCTATTGATTTATTATTTTCCACTTATCTTTTGGATTTACTTATTTAAGTTTCTTGTCTATGCATGTAGATGCATATTTGGGTTACATATACATGAATGTAATGAAAAAAAAAAATTATATAATTTGAGATATTTTAGGCGAATGAAATTATTGTATTGAAGATGAGAAGTACACAATATTTGAATGATCGCTTATGCATGAATACTCCATAAATTTTGATTTTATCATTTATTGTGTTTGCATTATTGTGTTATGGTTGTTAGGATTGTATTATGTTATATTATACTTTATTATTTAAAAAGTTTGAATCTTGTTTGCATTACTTAAAGCAAAAATATATATCAACCCTCAACAACAGTTTGTCGAGATTGACAAATTTACAAGTCACTGTAACTCATAAAGAGCAAATGTCTGGCCGAGAATATCACTAGGATTCTTAAACAGTCTATTGCTAGTAAGGACGTAACACGTGTCATCTAATCGATGATTTTGTCGCAAAATAGCACCACAAGTAAACGATTATGATTGGGACCCTCTAACTGAGTGGCTTAGCCACCACATGACACCATTAAAATGTGGTTATGGTCAAAGCTCGTATGTTCCTCAACGACACTAAATCATTGAGTAATAAATCAATATGATATGATCGATAGGGCACAAAGCCTTCTGTTAACTAAGATAGATTCAAATTTGTCCATTTAGATAAATATTCACCCATGTTTACAAGGTACCATTGAATGAAGTAACCTATGATTGTCGACAATGATCCTTCGGTCATGTTGAGTCGACTACCTCCTCTGACTAAGTAGACTATGGACCTTGATGACCCTGGGCTACAGAACCACGAGATCTTGATTGAGTTTATCATCACTTCCCCTGCCATCCGCTTTAAATGTAAGGTGGTGAATTTCTAATTTTAAATATCAAATTCTTAAATACCAAAATACACTGCTACTATACACCAGCAACTACATATTTGTTTAACGACTAGCATTAATCGAAAATTTTCTCTCGTTACCGGGAGGGATAATTAAATATAGGAGCTTGCGCCTATAAGAAACCCGAACTCAGATCATAAAGTCCTCGCAAAATAAGGGTGAAATCTTTGAGTAATGTTTTATTCAAAACCAAATTTGTCTTCTAAAATTTTGCCTCGGAACATACTCTCTAAAACTCTCTTCGATAACTCGAAGAAGAAAGAAAGGGAACGAGGAGAGGCCGGGGCGTGAATTTTCAAAGCCTACATAAATGTGTTAGATTTAGCTTATGTCAAAAAAGGTAGAAGTAAAAAAGACTTGATTAGAATATATTATAAATAATTTTTATTAAATTTAAATGACTATTTGGCTCTTAATAAGACATAATAGACTCTCTCTCTCTCTCTCTCATGCACACCATAGTATCAAATAAAAAATGCATATCTCACTTTTTAGCTCTCTCTCTCTCTCTCTCTCTCTCTCTCTCTCTCTCACTCACTCACTCACTCACTCACTCACTCACTCACTCACTCACCTCATCTCTCTCTGTCTATTCACCTCTCTCTCTCTCTCTCACACACACACATACACAAACCCCATAGTAAATGATTCATGTATCCAACCCCACATAGTAGGATAAATGCCTGATGTTGTTGTTGCTTAATCTACATAACTTACAAATAAGCTTTATTTTATTTCTCTTCAATAATAATGTAAAATCTTCATCATCTTCCACATAAATATTGCTACAAAATTGTTTTAGATCTAGAGGTATTAAGAATCATCCCAACATTTTTGGTTCCACTATATGAACTGCTATAAAACAATTCACTATTATAGTTAAATATTGATCTAAGCATCTGTTAAGATGGAGAAAACTTTGAATTGAATACGATGAGTTGGGAGGGTTTCTCTCACCATTCATGGTGTGGGAATTATGATCAACTACTAGATACTAAGTTAAGTGTTGTAGAGATGAGGATGCTCAGGTGGATGACTGGCTTTACCCTTAAAGATAGGATACGAAATGAGCATATACATGAAAAGGTTGGAGTTGCTCTAGTGAAAGATATGATTAGAGAGAGTCGCCTTAGATGGTTTGGTCACATAAAACGGCGACCTTCCGATAACCCGGTTAGGAAAGTAGAGGTATTAGATTTGACTTATGTTAAGAAAGTTAGAGGTAGACCTAAAAAGACTTGGTTAGAAAATATTAGAAATGATCTTTTTTTATTAGATTTAAACGAGAATTTGACTTTTAACATGACACAATGGAGAAAAATGATTCATGTAGCCGATCCCACAGTGGGACAAAGGCTTGATGTTGTTGTTCTACTAGATACTTACCTCCTAATCAAGACCAGCTCTTTACTAGACTACTCAAAGTTGGCCATGAGTTTTATCCCTTCAACATCACAAACTAATGCTGCTTCTTTGATACATACTTCAAATATTAAATCCTCTTTTTAAAACTTGCCATTTATTCCAGCAATTTCAATTCAATGATAGTGAGATTCAGCTGTTAATTAAATAATTATCAGCACAAGAAAAAACTAGACTCTAGAGTTGATCATACAATCAAAACCTATGGAGGAGATTTGATTGAGTAAATACCAACAAATTAGTAGAAAAGACCAACTCTACTTATTACTGTAGTAGATGGGTAACTGTTACATACTTATAATGCAGACTGGAAAATGATCTCAGCAAGTTCCTGCATACAAAAAAATGTATAAAATTACATTTTAGATTTGCATTATCTACAGTAAAACTAACAAAAAACAAAAAAACTTCTCAAGCACCTGCTTTCCAGAGGGAACATTTGGTTCACCCCATTCCATAGCCTTCTTCTCCAGTGTCTCAAAGTCAGCCTTCCCAGCCTGTTCATATGGTCATTTAGTTAGAAATCTACACACATTTCCTCATTAAAGTTTTCATCTTTCATACAAAAATTTCCTTAAGGTCATTATATATGGCATGAATTGAGTAGAAACATACCTCAATTAGAGCACCAATCTCTGAGTCAAAGCTTTGATATCGTTTCCTCACAAGCTCGGCGAGCGAACCATCCTACCGAAAAAGGAAGATCTCAACTTAATATCCAGAAAAATACTCTGCAATGATGTATGTCAGGATGATGCTAATTTAACTACATGTGTTATTGATTTTATATGTCATATGTTATCCCTCAAAATAATTAAATATACAACTAAACTTAAAAGATAAATACATCTAAATTTTTAGACATGCTAAATTATTTGTCTTTAGAATTTAGATTTAATTATATTATCTAATAGTTTATCTGCATTGAAGGATAACTTGTGAAGTGTAAAAATAAAGATTGTCTGGGATTTAAACTAGCCTCATCATGATACAAAATATATCAAGATATTTCTTAATATCCAATATGGCCTATCTATCATTCAATTCTAAATAATTAATCACCTCAACGAGCTAGGCAGCATTTTGGAGTTTGCAAGCCAAAATGTCCATTCTCAATTATTTGTCTACTAATTCAGATTTATTTGTCTTTTAAATTTAATTATATTATTTAAAACTTTAATTGCATTTTGACTTTTAACAAGACACAATGGAGAAAAAGGATTCATGTAGCCAATCCCACATAGTAGGACAAAAGCTTGATGTTGTTGTCATTGTTGAGGGATAACACGTAACACGTCAAATTAAGGATGTGTAATAAACTAACCTCATCTTAATATAAAATGTTCCAAGATATTCCTTTGAATTTAATATGTGCTATGGATCATTGAATTCTAAGTAATTAATCACCTCAATGATCTTGGCAGCATTTCGGAGGCCTCGAGCCAAAGTGTCCATGCCAGAAATGTGAGCGAGGAAAATATCCTCCACATCAGTGCTCTCTCTCCGCCTACCAAGAGACAAGAAAGTTTTCACAAGTTCTAAGTAATAGATTTCAATTTAATATAAATCTAGCACTTCAAAAAAAAAAAAAAGACACAAACAGCAGTGCTATTTCGGCTTCATTTGAGATAGTTGTTTTACTGCTTAAAGCAGCTTTTTAGTACAAAATTTTTAAATTTTGTACTAAAAAGCAGCTTTCAGAAGCAATAAGAAAGTTGGCCCAAACAAAGCTTTCATTGCAAAAAAAAAGTCATTCGAAAGAAACATTAAGGGAAGATGCCTTTACAATTTAGCATCAAAGTTGAAGCCGCCAGGGGCCAATCCTCCCTACAAAGAAATGGCAATGTTCAAAAACAATAATGAAAATATTTATAATAAAGAAAAAGTAGTATTCTTAAATTATCTATTAAAATATGCATACATTTCTAATCACACTTAGCATAACCAAAGTGGCCTCTCCGAAGTCTGTGAGGAACTGATCAGTATCCCATCCTACAACATGAAAATGCTTACCACATTAAGCACATTGTAATGTTCATGTCCAAGAATCAAAATACAAATCATTCATCATCTAATCAGACAAAGCTCATACCAATTTGAGGATCGCCAGTGTTAGCATCAATGTTACCCAGCAATCCATTTATTCTTGCAGTTTCAAGTTCATGGTGGCAGCTGTAAGAATCAACAATCAATAAATTGCCTAGACAAAATAAACTTGGCTTGCGCTGAAATCTTTAAGTATGAGGCAATAGTACTAACAGAAGTTATTACCTATGACCAGATAGAGTAGCATGATTACATTCAATGTTCAATTTGAACTCTCCTGCAAAGGATAAAGATAAAAACAAGTTTTTTCGGTACAATATCAAAGCAAATGTGTGATCAATAAACTAAGGTGCGGATATATCCGTTTTAGAAATATTATTTTTTAACGGGAGTGCTTGGATTGTGAGTCATATCATTGCTTTTCAAATTTTTGTAGTTGAGTCATGATTTTGACTACAAAGGCATTAATAGAAGGTATAAGAGTCCTACAAACTGTCATTAGGATACTCAACATACTAATTTCATGAGAAAATTTTCAAAATAGTCCTTCGACTATTAAAAAGTGCACAATTTAATTTCAAAGTTTTACACTGTCCCAATTTAATCCATTGACTATTAAAAATTGGAATCCCTTCATTGGAGAATCTGTCAAATTAAATGGAATATTTTGCATATTTCCCACTTTTCATAATATGAGGAGCCATTTTAGTAAAAACTGTTAAATTCAGAGAATTGGAGTGGGAAAAAGCTTAATTTTATTATACTAAACTATCACAGTTTATTGATCTATATAAGATATCTTAATAAAGAAACAAATAATTACAAAATCATGCATAATTGCTCTAATATAATCCTTCCTAAATCAGCCAACTAAATATGGAAGGAGATCGTCATGATCTAGGTGAGCCTCCCACGGATTCCCATCCTAGCCATGGATCAAAATGCCAAAGGACGGCTGGGATTTAACAAGTGAGCCTCCCACGGATTCCCATCCTAGCCGTGGGATCAAAATGCCAGGGGACTGTAAAACCCTTCAAAAAGCTGATTTTTTTTAGTGCAGTTCGTCTGTACGAACTGGATTTAGTACTGGACGAACTGAAGAAATTTGTGAAGAAATCTGCCATTTTCGTCTGTACGAACCTGGAGCAGTCGGGACGATCCGTCTGTACGAAATCTGTCCAGAGAGCAAGTCGCCCGGGACGAATTTGGATTTCGTCTGTACGGAATTTGTCCAGAGAACCCATCGTACCAGGACGAAATTTGGATCGTCCAGGACGATCAGTGTTAATAAATATCGGATTTTAGATATTTTGGATTCATTTTGGAGAGAGAGAAAAGGCAAGAGAGAGAAAGAGAAGGAAGAGAAGAAGGAAGCTTGGTTTTGGAGGCCACGGAGCGCTTTTCGTCCGACGACGCTGTTAGAAGATTTGTTTGTCTCGCTGTAAGGACTCCGAACCCTATTTCT